CATTTTTCAGATTGTTTAGGATTTTACAACTTTACTGGCGTGGAATATCAGGTGGGTGTTTTTGAAGGGAGGGCGCCCGGGTAGTGGAGGAGCTTGGGGGTTTAGTTGGGATGTACTGCAGCATGAGGATGTGAGCACCTCCAGCCAGCCTCTTTATCCATAATCCTTTAACCGCTGCCTCTCCTGCTACCAACATTTCTCCTTCAACCTTTCCTGCTACCAACTTCTTCCTTCTTCCTGGGTAGTTTAGGTCACTTAACTTCTTGGTAATTAGGGAGAGGCAATGTATGGTGCAGTGACACATGGTCTCCATGTGTCTGTGGTAAGTTGGAGGTCGTGCTGCCAGTCCTTAAAGAGTGGTTATACTCTGCCGACTTTATTAAAACAACACCACCACCTTCATAAATCCACCATGCCCCCAGTTCTCCATTCTCTATTACTGCCCTTAAACTTCTTTAAAAAAAAATACAATTTGAATGAAAAGATACATTTTGCTCTTTTGTAATCGAATTAATGCTTTCAATTCTCTTTTACAAAAAAAAAAATGTGTTATAGTAATGGTGGTCTTTATGGCAATACTTCACTTCATTAAAATACTTATATTTATCCAGATATCTTTGATAGGTGCCTGACAAACATTTAGTTAGATATTTGTTATGTAAAGAGAGTAGGACTTTCTCTTCCTTGGGTAAGAGGGGTAGCCAAATCTGTGTTATTTCACTGAGTTTTTATCCTTGACATTTTATGTATACTCCTGATTATACTCGGCATATATATCTTGCTATCGCTTAGTATAGATTTATGTTAATAATATTTATGATAACTAATTAATGTACAACAAACCATTTGAGAACTGAATGTACTGTAATGTGGGGAAGTGTTCCAAGTACAATATATGCTACCAAAGTGTAGTTAGTCCAAACGGTATTCATACTGTGATTATCGGATACTATGTCGCTGGTATCCAATTTACTTCTGACGAGTCTGTCAACAGGTATGGATAAAGATAGTGGTCATTGAGTGCTGAGGCATATAGTTAGTAGTGTAAGGGTAGGTAAGCATGGCTGAATGTAAAGTAGCTGTGCTAGGTACAGTAGTTTACCATATTTCTTATTGTATGTTTTTTTTTTTTCATTATGCAAAGCAAAATTATTTACTGGCATTATTAATCAAGAATCGTCCATTTTATTTTGTATTTTTTTTACGTACTGTACTATATGCACTTCATAACTACAAATATTAATTTCATTTTCAGACGGGTCGCCCGTGAAGTCCATGCAGAAAGATGGTGTTAAGAAAGTTGAAAACGTAACCACGTCCAAGGGTGGTGTTGCTCCCTCCATCACTAATGCCCAACAGGCAGCGGTAACACAGCAGGCAACTGCTGCACAGCAATCCAAACCCGACGAGCCTTCTGACTGCTACCTCAAAGACCTGTACTCACAGGTCACCTCCGTTGTTGCTTCCAAACCCGATGAACGAGAGAATATCAATGAGGGTAAGTTTAAACTTATGTTCTTGCATACTCTCTGGTTATTAGGACATTTTTATCCTTATACACTTGTAATTTAAATGATATTACAATACAAACATTCATGAACTGTACACAAGTAGCTTTGACATTGCAATGTACTGCACATTCGTAATATACATTAAAAATTATGCTACTTACGTTGATAATGGTAAAATTTTTAATAATATCATAACTACTTTAATGACTAATATTGTAACTGCTGCTTAAAAAAAACTTATGGGTAACAGAGGAATGTGAGGATCCAGCCGCCGTACCTATGATCTGGGTCAGTAAGTGGGTGGATTACAGTGACAAATATGGCCTTGGCTACCAGTTGTGTGACGAGTCAATTGGTGTACTTTTCAACGATTTTACCAAGCTGCTGCTACTAGCTGATGGAGAGTAAGTGAAAAAAAAATTTTTTTGATGTGTTACAAATATGTTGAATGTACTTAAACTCCACTCTACTTTATATGGCATACACACACAAATTAACACACATATATATACATATATATATATATATATATATATATATATATATATATATATATATATATATATATATATATATATATATATATATAATACAGTAGTAGTAGCACTTATTTGATTGACGGGCTAATTTACAGTCGTTCTTATGGTAGGAACAATTTATTTGTTATTTTTTTTCTTGAATTTAAATTTGACATTCCTTGTTAAACTGTGTTTATATATTTTTTTTTAAGTGTGGATACTTATGATATTTTATTTATATAAAATAATGAATCAAAATTTCAATGTTGAAATACATTACATAAAGAAAGCCTTTTATCAGGCGTAGTGTTCATCATTTGAAATACTATACAGTAGGCAGTCATCCCTTAACGTCGAGGTTCCTTCCTGATAACGGTGACGTTACCAGATTACCTGCCTCATCATGCAATTGGGATGGGACAAACTATTGCTGTTGACTGTACATATCAACGAAATTCAAGTGAAGTTATGGGTTTTAGACAGATGGGAGGCAGTAATTTTATATACAGTATTGACAATTTTTTTTTTTATGATTAACCCAGTCTGTGCTCTTTTACTCTATTGATAAATGTATTTCACCCATGAGGGATGTTTTTCAAATGGAGTTTAACACTGCCAGTGAACTTTTTGTTGTTGTTAAATGCTTGTTGATTTAAGGATTAAGGAAAAGGTTGGAGTGGGTAAGTAAATATCAGAGGAGGCTGATTTATCCACAATGACAGTTTTTACATTTGATTGGTAACTTAGTTTAATACTGTGGTAATGAAATATATCAGTTTACTCAATTTCCTATTTACTCATAATAAGTGTACTTTACCAAACAGAAATATTCACTACATTGAGAGGTCAAGTGCTGAACACTACCACCAGCTAAAGAATTACCCAGCAGCACTAAACAAGAAAGTAACGCTGCTTCGTTATTTCCGAAACTACATGAACGAGCACTTAGTAAAAGCAGCAGCTTCTATGTGTCCTCGAGAGGGTGATGAGCTAGCCCGTATTCCCTCTCTAAGAACATACTTTAGGACACGCTCAGCTATTATTCTTCATTTGACAAATGGCACGCTACAGGTATGTATTTGTACTAGATTCTATATAAAAAAATGTAGAGTAATTAAATCAGTCACTATCATGTTTCATTTCTTTTTTTTTTATACAGTATTGGGGTGTTTATCTGTAAATTTTTATTTGAGATTGTTTCCTCAGTTTTAGTTAGTACAGTAATTTAATATAGCAAGTCACATTTTATTTCCTTTTCTCTTATATTAAGGGTGTTTTAGTTGTAATTTTATATTCATATAATGTTTTTTTCCCAGTTTTGGTTAGCCGTGGGCAAAATATAGGGTGAAACGCATCTGGTCATGTATGTTTTAATAAATGATACTCAAAAAATTACTTCGGGTATTGTTAAAAAAAAAGATTGTGTGCCGGATTTGGTAATACATAAGATAACACTTGCATACTTTGACATTCAACTTCAATGGTAAAATAATGAAGATAAAACTAAAAAGAAAAATCTTAGTGAGAAGGAAGCAATTTGTAAATTAATGGAGTACCCATTTCCCTTCCTTTGCTGTTTAATGCACAATTTGCTCCATTATGCGCTTGTCTTTTTAATTCCTTTATATTCCATTGATATTATTATAGGTTTGAATAAATTCGTTGTAAAATCCTTCCATTACTGGACTACTGTACTGTATCAAAGTACCCACAATGTCATTCTTGGCTCTTCATAGTCTGTAGTTTATTTCTCCTGTACAGTGACCCCTCCGTTAACGAACTCAATCCGCTCCAGAAAGTCGTTCGTTAACCGAAAAGTTCGTTAATCGAAACCATTGTTTCAATGGGTTTTTGGGTAATTGGTTCCAGCTCACCGAAAATTTCCTAAATTCAACAAAAATGGTAGAAAAGTTCACTTACTTTGAGGTGTGTATGTAGAAGGCTCCTGGATGATGATGATGATGATGATGATGGGATTTAGAATGGGGGTGGAGGAGAAGGAAGAAGAGAAGGCATTAGGGTGGAAGAGAAGTCACCCCATGGCGCCATTTCACCCATAAAATTTTAGCTCTGGTTTAATTCAAGATTATTTTCTTTAAATCAACACTGCACTGCATTATATATTGTCAATATGTAAAATATATTTCAAAATGACCAATAATTTGCTTGGAAACACAGAAAAAAAGCGTTTAGTTGAAGAGAGTCTCCAGCAAGATGTTACCTCCAGTGAAAACAGAGAGAGACTAACTCCTGTTTGCTGTGTTAAGAGGCTGGATGCCGCGCATTAAACTAGTCACTTTACCTTCAATTATGTTCAATAATTGTTAAAATGACTAAAAAATTGAATATTAAACTTTTAAAATTATTGAATAGTATAAACTTCTTGATATTTACTAAAATAGTAAGGAATTTAAGCCCTAGAACCGATTAATGTATTGGCGGACTGATACTAAAGCTGGTTGCCCGGTCAGTGCAAGCGAAAACATGTTGAGGTCGGTTCGTAAGAACTTCGTTAACCGAGTTTGTTTTCATTAACCGAATTAAAGATCCTTATGGAAGGCAGTTCGTTAATCGAAATTACGTTAACCGAGGTGTTCGTTAAACGAGGGGACACTGTATTTGTTTTTCCTTTACCATAATGTTATTGCTCCTCCATCTTCTAAGTAAATAAATGTTGCTGTTTCCTTTCTTGTAAGAGCTGAACAAATTCTGTTGAATAATTGGCCAAAATTAAGAGGTAGGATTTGTGGTTTCTTTGTTGCCTTCAGCAAATATTAAGGAAGCAGCAATGAATGTGAATGAAAGAAAGGCAGAGGAATAAGGGATGTATAGGAATGTATTGATAGTGTGAATGGATGTTCGTGGAAGGGCTTGCAATATTGGGAGTGGAAACATTCTTATATGAGACAAAACAAAAGGTTTTCACTTTACTAAATGATAATACAGTCTCTACCCAAATCCCTTAAGAGTTTTATTTAATCTGCTGTCTCACCCATAAGACATATACAGTACTGTAGTTTCATCTACATAGAATGTCATCCCAGTTTTCCATTTTTGTCTTGATGCTCTCAATGAAGAAGAAAAAACATCCACAGTGACATTCCAATCTCACTAGAGTTGACTCAAAACCAGTAACACTTCTGTTTACTCCTAACTAATCCATCTGTAGCAAACCTTCACTTCTTCCAAATAACTTGTCACTTCTTTGTATATGTTCAATGTAGTATGTGAAGGTCCCTTTTTATTAGATCTCAAAGGCTTTCTTAAGATCATTAAAATTGTATGATCTGTACAGATTATGTTCAACTTTATACCTATGTTTTGTTTGTAAGTGAAAGACTGTGCAAATGTTGGTGGAGGGAAAGGTAAGGGGTTAATTAATTTTTAAAATTTTTCTTAATTACCAATTATTTATTTTAGATCAACTTCTTTGAGGACCACACCAAGATAATACTGTGTCCACTGATGGGTGCTGTAACCTACATTGATGAAAAAAGGAACTTTAGAACCTATAGGCTAGCCAGTCTTGAGAAGGTAGGTAGTACAGATAGTGGTAGCTAAAAAATTAATTTATCGTTTATTACATATGATTATAGAAGTATTGACATATTCTGGCTTTTTTTTTTTTTTTTTTTTTTTTTTCTTTTTTTCTCATTGACATTTAGAAAGCTTTCCGCTTCTTTTTCAGTATGGATGTCGCCCTGATCTGGCTAACCGGTTACGGTATGCCCGGAATATGATACAAAAGTTCCTGGTGACGAAATCTTCAACGACTAAGCCCTCCTCTGCCTCCTCTTCCTCCTCCACAACTTCTACTACTCAGCATGCCCCAACACCTACTGCTTGAATAGCTGTGCTACATTTGTACACTGAAACACTGATCTTGTGCTCTCTTCACCAGTAAACTCACAAACTTCTACTTGTGACATGCAGTTAAAAATTTATAATGCTATTGCCACATTATTGGATGTCAGATCATATTCAAATTGAATGAAAAATGAAGTGTCCATGTTTAACAACAAGACACGTCTATTTCAAGAAGACTGGGTGAGAAATTATTTTGTAAATTTGTAATAAAGTCAGCAGCATAAGGGTTACCTATGGATAACTTATTTTGAATCAGCTGTAGAGTAAATCTTTGATTTCTCTTCATATGTCATTTACAATAGAGTACTGTATTTTTTTTACTGCAGCTTGAAAGAGTGGTTACTTTTGATATACTCCTAGTCTGTGTCCAGTGCTTGGTAACTAAAGTAATCTAATAATTCAAAGCTGGTGCCATAAAGTTATTAATGATACAGTGACATCAGTATTTGTCCCAGTAATTGTTTAACAATAAATGATAAATTTGGTGGAATGATTTAATAAGGGAAGTACAGTATACATATACTGTACATCATATGTATACTTTATACAGTATATTAAATACAAGTATTATTTAAAGTTAATGATTATATTATTTCAAGGGGGGGTTACTGTCATTGATAAGTAGACACCACATCATAACAAGTAACACAATGAATTTACTAATTGAGAAACCAAATTTGGTTCAAGGTGTTAAATACTCATTTATTGTTGCATACTCAGAGCTGGATGTTTTCACAACCAAGAAACCCTCGACTAGCTAACCCTTTTCTGCTAAATGATATATGTGCTACCAAAAATAATAGGACAGAGTACTGTAACTTTTTATTTTTTGTTTTATTTTTAGCACTGAAATAAACAAAGACACAAAGAATCACAATATTTCATGCTACAAGTTATAATTTCCAGTGGGGGCACCACACTGAAGCAGTTTCTTGTCTTATGTTTTAATTATTTCCTATCAAGTACGGACTCTTAATTTTAATACTTTACTTTTATTTATGGGAATATGAAATGGTTGGATATAAGAAAATCTTCCAAGAATGACCAACTTCTTGGAAGTGGTGTGAGTTATGTAGGCTATATTTTCTAACAGTAATATTTTTTATTTCAAGCCTGGAGTGGGAAAATTATTGAGGTTTGGTTACGTGACTTAAATTTGGTGACAGTTGGGCATATATCCCAAAATGATAACATGATAAACTATACTGTATTCTTATCTTTACCTGTACTGTAGTCAATATAACAATGAATGTAAATATAATTAGTAGGTGGTAATGTGTTTTGTACTCCCTAATTGCAACATACATACTGGCTGTACTGACGAAGATAGTCTTTGCTGTTATTCATCATTTAGGTATAGTATCCTGGAAGTGTTTCCCATACAAGTTTGTGAGCAGCATTTGTAGGTCATATTTTAGTCATTATATTATCATTTTCATTCATCCCATTTTTAGTATGTGTGATGAGTTTCTATATACTGTACTGTATTTTTGTGTTTTAATTTTATTTTTGCCTCATATATTCCTATCTCGCCAATTTACAGCAGTGTGATACATAAGTGTAAATAGTCCGTGCGGTAATATAAATAAAGTATGTATAACTAATGCTTTGTTTTTTTATCATGGATTATATCTGAAGTTTAAGTAGAATAGCTAATATTCAAAGCAAAATGTAGGAAAGCATATATAATTTGAGGTGTTTTATTAAGTTTTCCAAGAATTATCTTTTAACAATTCGTCACCTACATCAACGTACAGTAATTTGTCTCGGGAAAATATCAGAAATGGCCAGGTACAGTAATTCTACATTTCAACACTAGCAAGCTATTTAATTTTTTTTTTCACATTCGGTACTTTTTCCTGATTGTAGAGTTGGTGGAATCTAAGAGTAAACACACCCTTTTTGCATATATGCATTTTTATACTGTACTTGTAATAGATGTGTTCTTCACAAACAGATCCAACTTATCACTTTTTACAGGTATAATTATACATCTTTGAAATGTTATTTTAATGTTGTGTAGTATGGCATAATTTTAGTGTGAATTTTTTGGTTTCCATGCAACATTTTAGTTTCATTTGATAGGTTCTTTTCAATTATTTAGACTGGGAACTGAGGGAATATAGATCACAATTTAAGTATTATGCTCCTAAAATTTACGTTACACTTAATTTTTCCTGTTGTAAATCTTGGGTATATTATGATACTCTAGGAAGAGCAGATTTTTGTTATTGCCTTGTTTCCATCAAAACCTTCAGATGAGGAATTAACGCACAGAATTTTCTGTAACTGATCAACACTACATTATCTGGTGATTTATTTGTACTGAGAAGTGAAGTGCTTGGGAACATGATAATGTGGAAGTACAGTACAGTACTGTACATGTATTTGTAAGAATGAAAGTAGAATTACACTAAGGAAAACATTGAGAGAACAATGAAGAATAGATCATGACAAAATAATCCTCAAATGATAATGTATAGTTTAAGAAAATGTCAGATCTCCAAGTGGGACTACAGAGAGATCACCATTGAAAATCTTCCATGGAAGATGGAAGGAAATTTTTCTTTGAAAACTAGAATAAAATCATAATGAATGGCAATATTTAAGCAAAAAACAGCTCATTTACGTTGATGTATTAAAAGTTGACTCCTTCAAATTAACATTACAGCATAAAAAAATAATTTTTATAACTTTTCATTGTAAGAATTACAGTATTAGATTAAAACAATGCAAAAATTCTATATTTCAGATACTGCAATTTTATACTGTACACAAAATTATAAATTCTGCTTGCCCCAGGTATATAATTTTGTGAAATACTGGTAGGTATAATTCTTTGCTCAGTTATATCCATGTGCACTCTCATATTTAAAAATAACCACTTTCGTTATACAATGCCCATACTTTTCTTCTCACAAACTGCAACAGTCCCACAGCAGAAGCCTTTAAATTCTTCAACCGACAGGGATCTCTTGCCTCAGACAAAGTAACTGACCACAGTATATCACCCACTGTACAATCACAAGCAATAGTCGTGCAACACTCCTCGCATATTGTTTCATCTGCCTGTGTGAAGTGAAATCTCTCCTCCACCAAACTCATCAACCAATTTTAGGAATAACTCGAGCACTGTAAACACCCTGCATAATGTAGATTTCAGTTATTGCCTGAGGGAGAGTGTCACATGCCGACTATTGCTCATAACTGTACCTCCTGTATGCCACCCAGACTAGCGGTGCTGATTGAGTTTTTTTTTTAGTTCTGATTAAATTAAACCACTGAACATGATTATTTGAAAAATATAATAATTTTGAAAATAACCTTTGATAGGAAAACATTAGTACTGTACAGTCGGGGTCAAAAGTTCACTCCCTTCCAAAATGAAGCAGCATCAACCCCAAACGAGAAACAACAGTTAAGGTAAGTCAGTTTCGGAGACTCATTCCCGTGACTCAGTTTCATCGTGGGGAGTGAACTTTTGTCCGCGACTGTATTCACAAGGCTTTTCCTTCTATGATCCTCGGTAGCCAAGCATACTCTTAACATTTAGCTGCTATTGGGTTACCACATCTTCACTTTCAAATGCAAAGGATAGATATGTCTCCCTCTTATCCAAGACTACACATACAGTACTTTGTGGACTAGACCTTACCTACAGATTTACAAAGAAAGGCAGAATGATGCCTTTTTGTGCACAAAATAATACAGGGGTAATGTAATTTGTTAAATTGCCAACTTTATCGGAAGTAAAGCTGATATGCTTTGTAACAGTCTATGAATAAAATAAACAAGCCACATACTAAGATGTACAGGAATACCTTGGTTATCGCAACAAAGGATGTGTTCCCAAAATTATTGCAAATACTGTATTGGGGCAATTTTCCGCATAAGAAACAATAGTACAGTATAAATAGTGGGGGGATGTATTCCCAGCTGGTAACTTTCACCACATTTTTTTATATACAGTACTGTACAGGTACACTCAATATAATGCAATAAAATAACTACAATACAAAAGAACAATGTCCAAGGTCACAGATACAGATGAGGCAGTAAAAGAGGAATAAGTGAGCTCGGAACGAATTACAAGTAATTCTTGCGTTACATTGTGACCACACAAAGCAAAAGATCAAAACAGACGGTCATGTGGACCGGCATATGAATACGCGATAAAAACACGCACTGTACAACCTGAGCCACTACGCTCTACTCCTGAAAACTTGAGCTAACCCATGCTTTTTTTACTGGGAAAGCCCACCCGGGCACAGGTCATCGATCCACAATGGGGCCTGGGGGCAAAAAAAAAAAGAGTAAAAAATTCAAAATCAAAAAGAAAAAGATATTAGTCTGTACCACAAAGATACCGGAAAACAGCTTTTTGAAGTGAGACATTATATGAGCATGGAAACACAGAAGAAGGCAGAGCATTCCACAGGTTGGCTGTGTGAGGAAAGAAGGATGTACTATAACGGGTTATTCTAGTGTGACCGACATCCACAGAGAAACGGTGGGCACCGCGGGCAAGACGAGTGTAACAAGCTCACGGCCTTGCCAGCGGTACACAGGATGCCAAATCTACCGAACATAGCCTGTTAAAGTACAGTGATCCCTCGGTTAACGAATTACCTTCCATAAGTTTCTTCACTTTGGTTAACGAATTCCTTACGAATTTTTCCCAACATGTTTTCGCCTGCATTTGGCTGCACACCAGATGTAGTATTAGTCCGCCAATACAGTAATCGGTTTTAGGGCTTAAATAGGGCTTAAATTCGTTACCATTTTAGTAAATATTAAGAAGGTTGTACTATTCAATAATTTTAAAAGTTTTATATTAAATTTTTTAGTAATTTTAACAATTATTGAACATAATTGAAGTACAGGAAACTATTTTTTCGCTATCCAAACAGCCACTCAACCCACCAAGCTTGGCGTCAGTTTGTTTATCGGTTCAGAGGAAGGAACATCTTGTTCGAGACTTCAACATAAACGCTTTTTTTTCTGTGTTTCCAGTCAAATTATTGGTCATTTTGAAATATATTTGTGTTGATTTAAAGAAAATAATCTTGAATTACACCAAGTGAACTAAAATTTTATGGGTGAAATGGCACCATGGGGTGACTTCTCTTCCACCCCAATGCCTTCTCTTCTCCCTTCTCCTCCACCCTCATTCTAATTCCCATCATCATCATCATCCAGGAGCCTTCATCATACACACCTCAAAGTCTGTGTACTTTTCTACCTTTTTTGTTGAATTTAGGCAATTTTCTGTGAGCTGGAACCAATTTCCCAAAAACCCATTGAAACAATGGTCTCGGTTAACGAATTTTTCGGTTAACGAGCAACCTTCTAGAACGAATTGTGCTCGTTAACCGAGGAACCACTGTACTTGTAAAAGAGAAAGTGAAGCAACATTATGACAAAGAGAAAGGGAAGAAAGATCAACTAAAGGAGGAGAGTATATAAGACGAAATGCCTTTGATTCTACCCTATAGAACAGTTGACAGAAGAAGAGCCACCCCAAATATGAGAGCAGTACTCCAAGTTAGGACAAATGAATCCCTTATAAACTTGAAGCAACTGCTAAGGAGTGAAGTAGCTCTGGCATCTGTACAGCATTCCCAGCTTTTGGGAGGCAGCTTTAGCAATGTTGTGGATGTGTGGCTTCCATGACATATTAGAGGAAATGGCAGAATGATTGCATCCTGAAATGTGATTGGTGGGAGATCATCTAATTTGGAAAGTGTAATTGGTAAATACTGTGTTTTATTACAATTGAATTTAACCAAGTTTCTACCTCCCCATTTGGAGATGCTGCACAGATCTGCATTGATAGATGAAATGATATCAGGTCTAGAAAAGTGAAGAGTAGAATCATCAGCGTGAGAATGGATAGAATTAGTCGTAGTGTGAAGTAAATCATTATTAAAAAAGAAGGAAGAGAGCAAGTGAAAGAACAGATCCCTGTGGGACACCACCACTATTGGTTTGAGACAGAGCGAGAGATCGATCCCTCGATCGGTTCTCTAGGAAGCTAGAGATAGAGAACAAAGTGGGGGAGAGAAACCATATGAGGAAAGTTTAGAAAGCAAAAACTTGTGCCATACCCTGTCAAATGCTTTGGGGATGTCGAAGGCCACGTCGAAAGTTTCCCCATAATCCCTAAGAGAGGATGACCAAAGATGGGTGCAGTAGGAGAGCAGATCACCAGTGGATCTCACCTGGCGAAAACCATACTGGTGATCCAGCAAAAGAGAAAGGCGGTGGAGGTGATGGAGAAAATGAGAGTTTAAGGTAGTTTTGAAAATCTTAAGAGATGGATGAAGTTAGGGCAATGGGGTGATAGTTAAAGGGATTGGAATGGTCACCCTTCTTCAGGATGGGCTGAACCGAGGCATGATTCCAAGAAGACATGCTTTGTGACTAAGCAGGATATGCTTTGCAAATATCAAATAGGGGTGTTAAAATATTAATTCCGAACAGCAAGGCATGGTATTCTTGTATGGTGGAACAGTAAGAAAATGATAGGCAATCTTTAGTTAGTTTCTCCAGCTTACTCTACAATGGACAGACCAGGCAATCATTGTTTAATTATAAAAATGAA